GCAATGCTAAGCTAGCGCTAGCCTAGGCTAGCTACTCCTTACTACCAGAAATAAAACCATTTGAAAGCAATAAGTGCTCAGTAGAGAAGTGCAGCAGAAGTTGCTATGTTTTAAAATGCTTCTGGACAGTTAGTTACTTAGATACGGAGACAGCCTGAACATTACGCAGCAGTCAAAACAGGAAGTGAACACGATACGTCTCACCAACATCAGCAGCAGCGCCCTCCAGTGGCCTGAAATTAGACTCAACTTTAAAAAAAAATCTATTTTCTTCAAACTTTGCAGTTCGCTAAACATTATTTTGCTCCATGTTTGAGCCACGGTCTATATTTCATTCTCCAGCCACAGCTGATTAAAATTACAACCGTATGCGATTAAACTTCAGCGCTAACCCCTAAATCCTTCAATCACATATAATATATAGAGCGGGGCACTATATGGTGGACTTTAAACTGAACGCTCTGACAGATGATCACAGCTTTCGCTCCCTGTTGGTCACGTAACTCCGCCCTCCCGGACGGTGCCTCCGCCATCTTTACAACAAATCCCATGATGCTTTGCAAGGAGAGATCTTGCCAAGCAATCTGGGATATATCTGTTTGTTTAGTGACCTTTCAAGGTGCATTGTGGGAAATTTTGATTCCTACTTTTTCCATCCACAAGATGTTCCGATACTCTTAAGATGGCATAAGCCCACAGGGGCACACTCGCCTTGGTTGCTCAGTCCGTTTGGGTGCTACGTCGTCATGACCAGAGGCTAGCACAATGCTAATGAGAAAGCTTGCATGAGGCGCAGAGGAGGTTAACATTTTTTTAATTTTACTACTTTATTTTTGTCTTTAACAAGCAGTTTATTATGTAAGGTTTCTATTTGTTGTGATATAAAATTACAATATCAAGCATTTACAAGTGCCAGACTCAAAATTCAAGCATTTTCAGGGCTCGATGTTAACGATCGTAGTTTTTATTGTCGGGAGAGTACAAATTTCATTTTTGCCCGCCGGGCAAGTGCAATGATCGCAAAAAAATGTATTTATCACTCAAAATTACTTTAAAATCACCAACATTCGCTGAAAACGACCCACAAGCTTTGCCGGCGCCATTTTTGTTGTTTTGTACACATTCTTGCGTGATTTGAAAAGCCGTGTGATTTTCTGCTAGATGGCGTGATTTTTCTCTCCTTAGGGAGAGAATTCTGCAGAGCAGCAGCTGGATGATGAATTTAATCTATACTATAAAACACGCTAGATTAAAAATGATCAGTCAGGGATTAGGAAAATAATAATAACTGTATGCGCACAGTCTAAATATTTCTATCATATGGCAGTNTAAAACTGAATTGAAATTATAACGCACTAACACTGTTATCTACTGTTAACTGGATGTTTACCTGATTTTGTAATTGTTCTAAAGACTCACAGAAGAAGGAATCTCCAACAGTCAGAGATTTTACTTAAGTAGGAGCAGCGATACTTAACAAGAATATTACTCAAGTAAAAGTAGGAAGTACAGCACAGATTCTGTACAAATTCTTACTCATGTAAATGTGACTAATCACGAACCACCGCTGGTAAGCATCCAAATTATTGATGTTGCTGCCATCAACACCTTTGTTTCTAGATGTTGGAACTTGGCCTGTTTTTCAGTGTAGTCCTGTTTCTCTGACTGTGACTAACTGGATGTGATCTCTTCATCCTCTGACATGGGAGCTGGCTCGGAGCTCTTCTGCCTGGACGGCGCCACCTGTGGCTGGTTGACAGTTGCCTTTTGTATCTATGCTTCTTTTTCTACGTCTGCTTCTGTCTCCTTGAACCCTAGTCGACCTCAAGAGATGGCCGCTCACACTAAAAGGTTTTTCCTTTCCACTGTCACTACAAGCATGCTTAGTGTGAGGGATTGCTGAACAGTCAATGAGTTTACGCAGCCACTGGTTTTCCTTAGATAGAAAACTTTGAATCAGTTTGACTGGATGATCTGGTTGAACTGTAAAGTGCCTTGAGATGACATGATGTGAATTGGCGCTATAGAAATAAAATGAACTGAAACCAGATCAGACTCCATCTTACCATCAACCAAGGAAGATGAGGACATTTCTGTTAAATTATTTCTTCTGGGAGGTCAGAGAACAGGCCCAGACAAGATAAACTGCAGATTGTGTATTAAAATGTTTTATTTTTGCACATAGTTCCAAATGAAGCAGAAAATAAATGAATCTATAAAGGAATTATAAACAAAAAAGTTGGAAGATAAATGGCACCAAGGACATGCAAGCAGCCTGACAGTTCATCTCATGGTGATGGAAAGCTGGATGAAATGGGTTCACGCCGGTACATCTGGAGGTTAGCTTTTAGACTGTTTGGATCTGAACACGGTGTCGTTGCAGCCTTCTCTGTTCCGGGCAATCTCCACAGCAAAAAACTGGACTCTGGTGGCTGAAATCACCAAAAGAAAAACTTTAGTTTCTGCCTTTCAAAGACAACCTCTTGTCCCCTGAGATGCTCACCAAATATGGTGTTTTCCTCGCTGTAGTCCTTCTCACAGTCCAGACGCAGCAGGGTGCCGTAGTTGAAATCTTCCACAATGCCCTCAAACTGGTTGCAGAAAGCGCGCCACCTCTGCGCAAGCACAAGGACAGAACACAAATCAGGGTTCAGACATCTTCAAGGTCAAATTCAAGTAATTTTCAAGGACTTTCAAGGTCACATTTTTAGCTTTTCCATTTTCTGAACCATTTGTAAATAGCTTAATATGATACAAATTCATTTACATGCAAAATGGCAATTTCTGTTTTTATTAACATCCGTGTCTCTACGCTCCTTGAGGAGGAGTGAATGCTGCTTTTCAAAGCTCGATGCAATCTGCTGGGTTTCCTCAGGGAGGAAAATTTTTGACCGATTTGTCTGGAGGAACATCATAAAGTGCCTTGAGACGAAATGGTGGATTGACGTCATATAAATAAAGGCACATTGATGTGAGGATATTTCCATTCTGAATGATTTTGCTCCAAAGACAGAGATAATGCTAATAGCTGGTCAGAATTTATAAAAATGTGCTGCAGTGCTTGAAATCAATAAAACACTTCATCTTTGTTGGCTCCATCTTTCTCATACCTCATCCAAAATATATTTCCTGAGCATTCGTGCTGCTATAGGCTTAGACTGCTGGAGGACATAGGCACCCCCTTTCATCATCCTATTTCTATTTTCCCATTCTGTTTCCCATTTGTTAGTTCATCTGGTGTGTTCCTTTGTGGCTGTGACTTCATCCTAGAAAATCGGT